GAACAATGAAAAGTGGGGGCGGAGAAAACATGTTTTCATTGCACTGATGCATGGTGTATCCTCCTCTCGACTACGAGCTGTTTGAGATTTTCGCACGCATCGCCTTGTGAAGAGAACTTTGGGAAATTCGCATCAATTACTAATAGCGAACTCTTCAAGTGCTCGCAACTATGAATTGTTCAAGAATCCGTGCACATCACCTTATAACGAGGCCTTTAAGAGCGATATTGCATCAATCGCCACATGATCGCCACTAATATGGTAAGGTGTTCAATGTTTGAGAAGTCATTGGTTATCAGCAGTCTCCTGTCGGCGAAGTCTAACTAGCGCCAGCTATATTGTTTGGGGTGGAGTTAAATTTACTGGATATTTATTTCAGCGAAAAAGATTGAGTTACCAAACTTAGAGTTAGATCAACGTAATGAGCTTTAATTATATATTATTCTATAGCAAGACATTGATCAAGTAAACTTTATCACTTGAAAAAATCTCCGAGGAGGCCGGGTATCCTTTAAAAAAAAAGGTCGTCCGATATCTACCCACGAATTTGAGGTAGATATTTGATTCTCGATCCCACCTGAATTAGAACATTTTTGTCTTTTTCGTCAGAGCAGATAATTAATTATCATTAATTCACTGCAAAATTTGAAATAATCAGTAAGAAAATCTAGTATCTAGTATACAATTATTATTATCATAGATTAATGACTCCCATTTCATGTTAATACTGGGTGTCCCAAGTTATCGTAAAGGTACCAGCAAAAACTTGCTTACTCGACAAGATGAACAAAAAATAGTAAAAATGCTTCAAATGACATCAGAGAACTTTCTTTATGACTCAAAAAAAAGTGTATAAGATTGGACAGCCACCTGCAACTCCTCAATTTTCATTTAATGGACTCCCTGTATATTGTCATTGAAAATTGCCAATCATCATCCTATTTCGGGAATGCACGATAGCACATCGGTACTTTGTATTTTGTTCATTAATAACAACATTAACAATAAAAATTTTTGACCTCATTTACGTTACATCGATTGAAAATTGCCTCCTCCCATGTTCGTAAAAATGTCCCACAATGAAATTAGATTAATTATTACACTAGGTAGGTACCGTTTGCAATGATTGATGTTCTGCAGTTCAAAATGGAATATCTGTCATTAATATTTTGAAACAAAAATGCAATCAATACTTCTTATTTGTGAACTTCTTGAACACATGGGTGAAAGCAATTTGTCATTTGAGTAACGTAAAAAAGTCACAAAATGTTCATGTTTTTGTTGTTATCAAGAACAAAACACAAAGTATGTGCTATATCGTTGTATTCCAAATAGATTGACACGCAATTTTCAGAGACAATATGCTACTAGATCAGTATCTACCATCCGGGGGCTGCCAAATATATCACATTCTTCATAAGCCATTAGGAAGGTTATTTAATGCCATTTAATGCAGTTATTTAATGCTTTTGATATCTTGACAAATAGACGAGATATTGCCTGTAAACGATAACTTGGGACACCCAGTATTTGAATTATAAAGGCTATTGAAAAAAACAACTCAATATTTTTGTAGGAATATTCATTAATTATTCAGGTTATGTTTGTGATTACTTTAGGAGCTCGCAATGGGAAATTCTCGATCTTGTTACGTCCAGGATATCCTTGGGTGCTCGCAGAAAGAAATGCCTATTCATTTCCTGTTATAGATAACCTCAAGGATTCGCAATAATGAGGAATATATCAAATCTGAGGCGAGATCTCCGCGATTTCTTTCGGACGACTCCAGAGAGTATTTCCCATGGTGACAGCCTATAGTGATCTTTGATACCTCGCAGAAGGATTTCGCATTTTGATCCTGAAGATAACAACTTATAGAGATATCGCGGAGAGTACCGTGTTACCTGGGTTAGAATGCCGAAATTTTTTATGTTTAATACTTGTACGCTTTTCTATTCAATACGACTGTACCAGATTTGAATTCAATCGGCATTGCCCTCTATTCAATATTACAGATTGAATTTTTCGTCGAATTCCACAAATCACTCTGTATGTTAGCAACGAACCGATTCTGTACATTTGTATATGGCATTCTGCATTCATATTGGCAGTCCCTATAACCCCATAAGTTTTGTCGGTTTTATCTCCGGACACACTGTATAATCACGCCGAGTTAACAAAATACGATACCTACTTTCTCTTCCTATTATCGTTCCAAGGACCCACGATGTTCGGTCGAACATGATAGGGATTTCCTTTCGCGCATTCCAGAAGATAGAAAAAAACCTTTCTTTCGAAATGATTGGAAGCGTAACGAATAATTTTCACTGAATTGGAAGTAGGCGTTTGCTCTCGTTTTGAGAAACGAATAAGCAAGAAAAAACCGATATAGCACATAGCTATTCGAAAAATACACAATATTTTGCATACACAAAATAAGTATCTGGATCCAATTTTTATTTTCATCGCTTGCCAAAATTTTTTATCATTAATACTGAATGAGGCATTAAGTTCAATGACTGGTTGGCAGAGATTCAAGCAAGATGTAGATATTTTATACTAATAATCATTATTAATGGATATGTACATTTGCCATTGCATTGAAAAGATGAAGCACCTACCTATAATTAGAAAATGGACGTCAAACTGCAGGGTAATTCAATATAAGTATATGTTCATATCGTATTTTTGATTTCGCGGGTAGTAATATAAATGATATGTACCCAATACTCAATCGAGCATCCTCGATATATCCCTTGCCTATTTTCATATTTTAGGTAATGGGCTAGTCGAGTGATTGTTTCATTTTTCTTATTAATTCTTCACAGTACCTCTTTCAATTTTATCATTTTTCAAAAATTTGTTCAATGATCTTGAGGGACCAAAATCAGAAATCAAATCACAGTATCATTCAAATCAATTAGCTGAAATTTGCCACTTATAACTATACTGAATTCGGACTCAGTGAGTAAAACACATAGTAGCCAGATGTTACAGTAGGATACTTATCTGGAAATATCATGATCCTGAAACCGGTCTGTAGGTGCTCAAGCAATACCTGGCTACAATTTGATCACCATTCAGCAGTTAGGAAAGAATCACTCGCATATTCCATATTCCCAATCATTTTTATATTCTTCATGCACTTCAGGGATTCAAGGGGTACCTTTATTCCCTATTTTCGGGCTAAAAGTGGTACTTTGAATCCCTATGGATTTGAAGTTACTTACTTTAAATCTCTAGGGATTTAAAGTAAGGTCCTTTGCAATAAAAGCTAAATTTAGAAATGTATTTCTAAATTCGTTCCATTCTTTGCACCATTCGATAAACTCAGATAACTTTTTTTTATATTGTTCTCCAGATTTTCTTGGTAAATTGTCCTTCAGCTTCTTGAGCTGCCTTTTCGATTCGTTCCATCGCGATCAACGTCTTTCAATCGGTGTGGCGTATTTGACTAATATTATTTCCACAAAGAGAAACTCAAGTCATCACCACAACTAGTTCATAAAATGAACGACAATGGTAGATAACGAGAGTAAACTACTCTCCTGGCTATATGCCACGCAGAACATTGCATTACATCCTCCCGAAACCTATGCAATAGTTCGTATAAACGAATAAAATCGCAAGTGTTTCCTTCCTAAACGCTGAGCTGCGCTGAAGTGGTTCAGGACGCTGACTACCTGCAGACCGGTTTCGAGCTCTTGGCTTTCATCAGTACAGGGCTATCCCAGATAGCTTCTTGACCGCTATCTGGTGCGAACCTGACCCAACGTAAACGCATCTCAGCATTTATACCATACGAGGCGTTCGACGTCTGGTTGCCCGACTGGCGTATTTTCAACTAGGGAAAAAGCCAAATACTCAAAGTGGAATGCATTGGTCACAAAGAGAGAAATATTTATTTATTTATGTTTCACTTAGTTACTTGTCATAACACACCAAGATTTTCAGTTGCCGATGACAATCATGATCTGGATCACCATAGTTACTGAGGTCGTTGATATGGTAGCAATCAGGCTCTTCCATAATGTTTTAGAAATAGAGTAACTACCATTATTCCAGATTTTTTGAGATTTTCTCGCCTCGTTTCTATGAAATAAAAATATGAATATTATTTCAATATACGTGTACCTAGTAAGGACAAATCAGATGATTTGCTCCAAAATGTCACTGCGTTTGAAGAATTTTCTTATCAGAGAGCCTGAAAGAAAAATTCACTAGCTTGTCAGTGACAATTTGTATTGAAAATGGTTTGGAGAAGAGAAATAAAGGTATATAGAAAACATATCGAATTTTCCCTTAGCTTTGGACGTTTCGGGAACGAATCTGCTCCCGTTTTCAACATAAAAAATGATTATTTGAATAGCAAATTCGTATTCGTCTCGAAACGAGGAGAGAAAATCCCAGAAAATCTGGAATAATGAATGTACCACCTCCTCGATTAAGCTACAGATAGTATTTAGAGTAACTACCATTTAGTAGCATTCAAGTTTTGTTTTCGTTATTTTTTCTTTAACGTTTCACCTATCCTGAAGTGCATAAAATAGTACATATACATGCACTTCTGGAAAAGTGTTCTCAAATAGTTGGTCGGGCTATAAACCTTTTGTCTATGTATTAAAAATACCACTTCATTCCCTAGGTGTATAATGTACTATTGTAGAATGTAATTTCAATGTGCAGCGTGACATTGGCTAGCGACAAAAAAAATGAGAACTCCAATAATGAATAAGACGGATGTATCCTGAGCGAGTTGGGTATATATTAATAAAATAAGTATTATAACTCATAATCAAAATAAATAAAGAATGTTTCTATGGTGGTAATCCTATATTGACAAATATAGGGCTGATATTCATGTTTAAAAATCGATGCTTACCTGTTTCGACAACTCGTTAATTATTACCATTTTCATTAAACAGAAAGATTTTATAATGTTTCAGCAGTATTCTTTGAATACACCTATATAAATTTTATCAATTGATTTTTCGTTACAGAATCTGGACGCCTTGAATTTGAAGAATTCGTTACGCTGGCTGCCAAATTCATTGTTGAAGAAGATGATGAAGCAATGCAGAAGGAACTGAAAGAAGCTTTCAGATTATACGACAAAGAAGGTAAGACATTATTAAATTATTTTTCCGTCGACCTCAATAATTAATTATTTGTCTATTAATGCACGATTGTAGCATAGACAACCAAACATACACCGCGTTTATTCACTGTTCATGTTAGAACTTACGTAATCTGCATTTAAATCGAAAATTAGGACTTCATCGAAATTTGCCGTTAACGGTTTAGCCTTTCCAAGTTTCTGAAACGATTTTAATCCCTGTTTTCTAAAACAACGAATTTATTTTTTATGTTGATTATTTCGACAATAATGTCGAATGTCACTAATGTTTCCGGTTGAATGATGAATTCGTGCCGAACCAAGTTTTCTTCATTGCAGGAGAAATGAGAAATATAGTCGGCGGAAAAATGTTGTAACCAACTGGCAACTCATCGTATATCAAAAGGCGATTAATGATCTCTGAAAACTAATGTACTAATTTTTCTGTCAGCAGAAGCATAATTGAACCATTTTTCAATGAGAATAATATATAATCATATAACTTAGTTTGAATCATCTATATTTTCTGTTTTTGATAAAAATTCAATCCAAATTGATTCGAACTTTTTTTTTATATCGCTACTTCAAAGTTGGGAATCAACTCCCCAGAAGTCGAAACTTGTGCGGGGTTAGTACCTAAGATTTAAATTATTGAGGTGGGCGGTAGCCATGAATAGAATAAAATTAGTTCACAATGTATGTTTCATCAATGATTTTTTGTTTTTCTCTTGCGAATTTTTGTCGCCAAAAGCTTTATTACCTACCAGGTAGCCAATAAAAGGACGTCATATAATATCAATGTTGGTTTTTCCTCAATTTTGATTCGCGATGACTGACTAGAATATAACAAACAGTACATGCAATAATGAATGCGATAATGAATGACTTTTCCCCTATGCAATATCCAATCAGAATTTGAATCTGAAAACGGGCGCATGCGCCTTAGAAAATCATCTAAATGAAAAGACCTATGACAAAGTACACACGACCTATTTTTATTATAAAATTGAATATATTTATTTGAAGGTAATGGATATATTCCCACCTCCTGTCTTCGTGAAATCCTGAGGGAACTGGACGACCAACTCACAGATAGAGAATTAGACATGATGATTGAAGAAATCGACACTGATGGTTCAGGAACAGTTGATTTTGATGGTGAGATATTCAAAATTCAATTTATTTGAAATGTTTGAGCATTTGCTTTTATCAATGAAATACGGAATGAGCAGTTCAGATGACAGAAAGTATATATTTTAATTTTCTAGAATACTATTCATTGAACCCTTTATTTTCGGTGAAGTTACAAATATGTTTTGTTACATTTGTGATCCATTCATGATTGCCCTCTATCTTTTATTTGATTTATTTTATCAGTTACTAATTTTACGAATATTCGTTCGTTATTTTGACTTCATTCTTGAAATCCAATAGGTAAGTAATCGAGACATATTATGCGCATAAACTGGGCAATTCCATTTTCGTGTTAAGATGAGTCAAAAGCATGAAAGAGCTTCGTAGGGTTATCGTTATGTAAACTAGAGTGCTTTTTTGCTATCGTTTCAAAATCTATAGGGTAATACTTTTTTTGGGGTAGAGCCTTATTCTGTATCCCTCCAAACTTTTTCGTAGTACGCCTCTGGCATCTTTCAGTGAACAAATTGTGTCGATCGTTCAATTTAGAGGCTTTATTGCTCTTCAATTTTTTTCGAGAAACGAACCGTTTTTGTGATAAATAAGCATATACGTTCTAAAACATATTCATTTTGCCTATTTTTCGCTTAAATTTTATTTAACCTCCGTATCCCCTTTACTGATCAAGATTGGACACGTGATTGCAATTTTAATGAGTACATTTCATTGAATTTTCAAAAACTTAAATTTAAGCGAAACATATTGAATTCGTATGCAAATAGCATCCAGTAATACAGAATATCCTAGTTTATCGGTCCTGAGATGTGCATACGAACTTAAATCATCGATTATTTGAAAGATGTCTAGTCAATTGATGTTCGAATAAGTCGAGCTCCCCTCTCTGGCATCGTATGCAAATGTCGGGAAATTGATTAATGGGTCCCAATTCATTGTTTCGCCAAAGGGCATACATTCTTAGATCATCGACTATAACACTGAAAAAATTGCCTCTTCCGGTTCGTATGCCGCCCTTGGGGAGTGACCTAGGCGTATGCAAACCGGCAAGCGCCCCAATGTTCGTGAGATAAGATCATTGCACTTCATTGCCGAGCTTCTTCTTAGACAATATTTTGAACTTTTTTCCAACCGAAAGGTGAGGTCAGGGCCGGGATGCGACTCTCCGAGGCACTTTTTCCTGTTAACTTGGACTAAGTGAGTGGGTCCCTTAAATGGCATATCGACTTAGAACATCGATAAACCCTGTGTCGCGGGCCAACAGTCTATATGTCACATCATCAAATAAAAACGGGGCCTACTTCATAACAAATTTATAAAGTCACGACTAATCATATATCTATCTAGAATTCCGGTCGAAAACTAACATTTCAAATTATGAAAATATCAGAACTACTTACTCTTTTCTGTCACTGTATTGGTCAAAGCGGCCGTGCAAATTGAAGAGCAGTTCTTATGGCATTTTGTCTGATCTTTTTGAAACTGATAAAATTGTTCAAGAAAAATTATCACAAAGTGAACTTTTTCGACATAACAATAAAAGAATAATTTTCCCCAAGTCCGGATCTGTATTTTTTATAATATACCATCTTCAATAGTTTTAATGAAGAAACGTCGCAGCCAAATTTTAGCCAATCGATAAAATTTTTCGAGAAAAATTATCACAAAGTGAACTTTTTCGACATAACAATAAAAGAATAATTTTCCCCAAGTCCGGATCTGTATTTATTTTATAATATACCATCTTGAATAGTTTCAATAAAGGAACGTCGCTGCCAAATTTCAGCCAACTACGATAGATCGATAAATCCCTTAGGAAGCCCCTCAGATATTAATTCAATTTCATTTATTGTAATTATTTTGACTATTGAAATTATTCAGTTTTGTCGATATAGATATTCTAGTTGATCCGAATACAACGAAGAATAAAGAAACATATATGTACAGGATGTCCCGTAAAGACCTAGAGAGAATGTAGATCAAAGGCTAACCCACCTGCTATGACAAAATTCCCATTATAGAAGTCTTACCGTTTTCGAGATTTTTTTTTTGTTGAAAATATTGAATTATTGTCCCTTTCAATAGTTTTGTCTGTACGGTTGGTATAATTTTACACCTTTTCGGTTCATTTTTTCAGTAAATATTGCTGAAGAATGATTTTAACGTATACATTCAAATGAATGAAATGAAGACTTTGGTAGTGGATATTTTCAACAACAACAAAATCTCGAAAACGGTAAGACTTTTATTCACGAAGTGGGCGACATCTAGGTTACATAATATGAACTTCAAACTGGGGGAAAACAAACTGTTGTCTATGGATAAAGTGCATAGACTACATTGCATTCAGCTTGCTGTAACTGTAGTCAAACTTGTCAATGACATGAAGTGTTGGCTCTGTTGGTAGTGATGATGGTTGGGTTGGTTAATTTTTTTACATTATTACATTTTTATTAGTTCAATGAACAGTGAACGGGTGAAGAATCGAAGACAGTTCAAACAATTCAAACTAATTATGACGAGCAAATCAATTGACATATAACAGAACAGCTACAACATGTTTACAATACCCAGATTGTCCTGCTTTGCAGGAACAAATAGAAATCCATTGTTCTACAGGAGTTCCTCTGGACCCCAACTTCAATTTTACTTCATGTGCAGAAGATTTCATGGCCGAAGTTTGTAAAAAGTTTGTACAAAGTGCACAATGTGCCTTTTGTTGAAGTCTCCTGCCTCACACAATATCTGCTTCTCCTTCCACTATTGGTCGGCTTTTTCCATCTAAATAGAGCAAAATATCTGCCAAAAGAACATCTACAACAGGCATTTACGTTTTCGATCGAATATTGACAATTAATGTCAAGAAATTTAAAAACTTATCACTCTCATCAGTACACAGTACACAAGCTAACGGCACTAATGGGATTGAGTGAGGATTGAGTTTGTTTTCCTCCAGTTTTGAAGTGGCTTTGACATAGAACGATGAAAACCGACCGCCACCTGGTAACATTGATTCCCGCGAATAATGGTGTGTTATCCTTTGATCTACATTCTCCCTAGGTTTGACGTGGTCTTCACAAGACACCCTGTATAGAAGATTTGCAAAATAAAGTAGTGTATACAAACGGTAACAGATAAGACAAACACATAGAAGCATGTTTTCTTAGCAATTCATATTTGTATTTTTTCCATCTTAAGCATACTGTGTTGTAAGAACATTTCAATTTGTAACTAACATAAGACTGTTTTCAGAATTCATGGAGATGATGACAGGAGAAGTGTGAGCGCGACTTGTAGCCATAAGAACTTTGTACCTATACTCACTAAATTATGTTAAGAACTCATATAATTTGTTTTTCAATAGTTTATTCATAACTGTAAACAAGAAACAATGTTACAAGAAATATATTTATTTTAGTTACAGACTATTTGTATAATTTAATAAATATACATTTAAAATTTCATGTGTTTTTTGTACCTTTAAGCGTGATGTACAGTGTGTGCTAGAGAGTAATTTCCATAAGTGTTTTTCTTTGAAAGTGGGCAATAACTCAGAAATGAATTATGATTTATGATAAGTTTTCGTCAGAAAAAGAAGAACATTTCTGATGAAAAAATAAAAATAAGATTTCCAACGAATTCTCAAAAACTCATTTTTGCTCACACCTACCATTTTGATGATATAATCAGAGTGTTCCAATCCAAAAACCATTCTGTTTATAGAGATTAGTTATTATATTGTACATAATTCGAATTCCCCCTTGCCATTTCTTGAATACAATCTCATATGAAAACTAGGTAAGTATATGTATAGACAACATTCAAAATCTTCATAACTGCATAACCCATATCAAGACCAAGACAAAATTTAAAAATTACCTTTATTGCTTCTATACACATTTCCGAAGTAGCAGATGTTTCAGTATAAATATGATGCAAATGACGCGGTCGCATTCATCCATTTTCAAGCATGATTCAGGAAAAAATTAGTACCCACACCCGCCTGGCAAATAAGATACTTTTTTAATTTTTTCATCTCGACTGTTTTCTGCAGTGACCCATTACTTATAAATCCAATCAATCAATGACAAATTCATGTAAAAAAATTGAGCTTGTTACAATACCTACCTTTCTTCCCTAACAGTCAGCATGAACAAATTTATCTGATGTTTGTAAATGAGTTGGTAGAATATTTCACCTGTTTGATGAAAATAAAGGTACGTTACTTCGACAAGAATGTCCACACGTCAGTATCAAGAATAATTCAGACAAAACTTCTTTATTCATGAGATATATGATCAACAATGATCACACGTGATCACCACGCTTATGACTACGTGAGCGAGGAAATAATATTTAAGTATGTATTATCGCCATGCATTAAGACACGTTATTGCAAGTGGTTTTCATCGATTTGAGTTATGAGTTGATATTGATGTTGTTCAAGACTCTGGCCATCCTTGTATTTTTATCAGACTGTTTCGAACCTGATTGAGAAAAACGATTTCGTGTTTAGCCAACGGTTGTACCTATACATGTGCCAAAAGGGTAAAAATATAACTTTTCAAAGTTCGATAAAGTATCAAGTGTTTTCAACTTTCTATGACATCTCACGAATTGCTACAAGAATTATTATACAACTACTTCAGTAACTATTTGAATTTCAGCTCAGAAATGATGAATATTCGATAAAAACATAATTATCATCATTAAAAACATCAATTCGAAGGTAGATCGCACTTAGAGGAAGATTAAGGAAATCAACCAATGAAAACAATGAACGACAAAGACGTCATAAAAAGCAGTCAGCTATCCAAAAGAAAACGGAAGCAAAATTCTTTTGTTACAAGGTAGTAAGATAAGGATCTAGTAATAGTAGTTCGATCATAGTTGAATATTGCTAGATTATTGATAAACATACGGACTGGGGTGTGGGTTTTGAGAAGTAGCAGTTCAAAATAAATGATAGCTAACAAAGAAACATGTCGTGTTTTTGAGAATATCGTAGGAAATCTTATAGTAAGTTTCTTCAATTGTCATGGATTTCCATCAAGTATCGGCTGAATCAATTGATGAAAAGGAAAGAATCGAAAAAACTATCAATTGAAACCGCTTTTGGATGGAAAATACCGATCCTTTTTTATATTCCTGTACATAAACAACAACTGGAGTATCAAGTAAGAAATAAATATCATGAAAACTACAATTCAATTTTCTCAGGAGGAAGAGCTCCTCAGAAAATCTCAGTCATCAAATAAAATCTAGTTCCTAACGTAAAATGGCACTGAATAAACTAGAGAATTTAAAAATATCACATGTCGATCTTCTCAAACGAGCTTATATAATATACGTATATAATGATACTATTCAAAGTTTGAGCACAACAATGTTAAATGTTTTGATAATCGTATGTCCTTTATTTCAACAGAAAGTAACAACAGACGAACGAAAGTGGAAAGAAAACCTAGAAAACGTATTTCTGAAAGAGAGAGATAAGAGAGAAATAAATGATAAATATCTGGAATTGTTTGATTTTCCACGCATTTGACAACGTAGCAGAACTTCCACATTAACTGACATTGACTGACCTTAACACTTTCGCCGCCGTGAGCATTTTGATTTTCTTCGCCGTGGGCCAAAAATGTGTTTTGATGCAAAACTATTCAATAAACGGTTCTGAGTGCGTGGTTGAATTTTATTTCAACCCTTATCCCCTTCAATCCCAATTTTTTTAGTGTACATCGATGTTACACCTACAAAATTTCGATTTTTTGACCAAAGTAGCTTCCTTGGTGTGGTATATTTGTGACTCATGTGAAGGAAATCCACATTACTGTAGAAGTTGCTTCAACGAAACCCATTAGTTTCATGATTTTATTTGTTTTCTGTTCCAACTATTTCAATTCCTTTCTTTTCGTCGTTTTGTGTTAAATTTTAGATGTTCTTGTTTAGAGCAGATCTTAATTTTGTGTTTTGTTCTTTATTTTGTAACGTTTAGCTATAAAAAGAATTTTAGTATTTTACTGTTTCTCAATTGTTGAAAATATTTTTATTTTACACTGAAATAAATGAATAGCACCGAATAATTTGTTGATTCCATTTTCACATAGTTGTAATTGTCATACGCCAAAGCTTGATATAGCAAAATGTTCGCCCAGGCCTGTAGAATAAATTCCCTATTTTCAATACGTTGTCGGTGTAACCATATTGATACACCAGAATTTTTACAAAAGTACTGCGGATGTACAATAATGTTACACTCTTGTTATTGCAGTGTGTACATTAATGTTACACCCGGCGGCGAAAGTGTTAATAACCGCTGGCACATTGTCATTGAAGTCAGTGTTAAAATACAGGGTGTTTCAGAAAAACATGACCCCCTTGGCTAGGGTAATTAGAATACTGCAAAATAAGTTGGGTTTGCTCAGGAAAAAAAATGTCGTAATGGCATCCGTTTCCATGATGAGAGGTATTTAAAATAGTTATTTTTGTATCTAGAGCGCGAAATGCTACTTTGGTGATCGAGATCTGATTTAAAGTTGAAAAAATAGTCGAGATGACCAATCTGAGGAAGAAAGCCTTTGCTACAGAGATAAATTCCTGTCAAGGGTTGCAATCTGATCCTCACCCGTTCAGAAGGATAATGCCTAATGCAATAATTCAGAGAGAAAGAATCGTGTATTCGTTGAAACGGATGACATTTCTAACCTTATATCTTGAAAACGGAAGCAATTACGTCATTTTCTTCACTGTGCAAACCCAACTTATTTTGCAGTGTTCTACCCACCCTAGCAAGGAAGTCTACTTTTTTGGAACACCCTGTATATATAGTATAGAAAATATGCGTTAACAAGATTCGTAAACTACATCAAATTACCCTAGTATGTTCAGTCGTATACAATAAAAAAGTGTACAAGTGTTAAAAAGAGAGGTTTACGGCATCCTAGTTCTGGTTGTGTAAAACTGGCTCAGCCAATGCTTTGTGTTTTTGAGAACCTATGTCAACTTTTTTATTATTGCTTGGAGCGCACGAACATATGGTAATTTCACGAAATAGAATGACGTTAATTTCATTATGTAATATACTTGTACGCTTTTTTTCTGAATACAGCTGTACATTCAGGCGTGTCACAATTCTCAATTATTGGTCCAATCATGTTCCCTATTTCAAGTAACTTAATATGTGAGGATTTTTGGTCCAAATCTGTTTCCAAAAAAATAGTTTCAAGAATAAAGATTGTTTCCTACAGTTTAAAACTGAATTATCAAGGTTTTTCTTCGCCTGTTTTATATCTGTGATAAAACTAAAGGACAGTGGTTAACAGAGCAAATTGTTTAGAATATGTTCGGGACAAGACCACAAAATTTAACACGAACTTATTCACATCTAATGTATTGAAAAAATGCGATTTACCAATTATATTATGCTCATATGATACAGTGTGATTCACTTGAATGTGGGACAACCAATACAATTTCCATTTACCTTCAGAAAAAAACTTGTTTGAATTGAAGAGTTTGAAAAAAGGTGATAAAGAACAAAATACAATTTTTCACACTGAAACCAAACCGAATTGTGAATTTTTTGAAGTCAAAATTCAAAAATCATTTTTGAGACTTTTATAAAAAATCTGAATACACCCTGGAGCTCACCCATGAATAAAAGAATGCTGTGTAAAAATCAGATATTTCTTTATGAAAACCCATTTATCAGTTTTCTCCATTTTTATTCAGTGGGTTACTCGATCACAAAAAGAATAGTTCCAGGCACTTTTTTTTTCTTATCCCGTTAGAAAAGCAGGTAGCGACAGTTTTTTTGACGTGTTTTCACACGGTATGCCTTTTGGAGGGTATCATCTGAGAATCGGTCATAATCTATTTTTTAAATCGAAAATTCAAGATGGCGGATCCAATATGGCGGACGAGTTTCGTAGTTATGGACCGATTCTATTCAAAATTGGTATCTGGGGATTTTCGGGGTCGGAGATTATGATTTATTCGTCAAAAATAGGAAATTCAACATGGCGGACGAGTTTCTTAGGGACCGATTCTATTCAAAATTGGTATCTGGGGGTTTTCGGAGTCGGAGATTATGATTTTTTAGTCAAAATTTTGAATTCAAGATTGCGAATACAATATGGCAGACGACTTTTGTGATTATGGTCAGATTTTATCAAAATTGGTAACTGGGGGTTTTTGAAGTCGGAGATTATGATTTCTTCGTCGAAATTAGGAAATTCAAAATGACAGATCTAATATATGGCGGACGAGTCTTTCAATTATGATCAGATTCTATTCAAAATTGGTATCTGGCGTGTTTTCGGAGTCGGAGATAATGATTCGTTCATCAAAATGTGGAAATCCAAGATGGCAGATCCAAGATGGCAGATCCAATATGGCGAACGAGTTTCGTAACTATGATACGATTCCATTCAAAATTTGTATCTAGGGGATTTTGAGG